TTGAACTGGGACTACAAAGACTATGTGCCTTATATGTCTGTAGAGAAAGAGACATTTGGGAAGATTTATAGAATTTATCCTGTTGGAAATGTGCTATGCTATATCATTAGGCCAATTTACTCCTTTTTCTTTGGACTTTATTTTTTCTGAATGATTCTTCTTTTTTCTTCAGATATCTTATTTGTCTAGAGGATTTTAGATTTCTTAGTTGGATGCTTTTATTCTTCTGAGAAGACAAAAACAAAACCCTGTCCCAAACTTAACTTTGGGGATTTTCTATTTTGGAAGGTTATATCTTATCAAATGAAAGGCATTTGTTAGTCTTATATAAGTTTAGATTGAATGGCCATGCTGTTTGATGAACTATCACCTCTTCTAACCAAGAGGTCTCTCCTGTTCAAGTCTAATCCTTATCGATTTTGATGGTATCCATAGCTTTTCTTCTTCTGTGGAAACAGAAGCAAAACCTCTTCCTCAACATAACACATACCTTGGTTTCCACTCTGAGGTCAACACATCCTGAAAGTAATACATCTTGATATTATTTCAGCAGGTTTTTCTACTATCCAATGTCTCTCTGCAGCTGTAGTTACTTTTGCATTGGCATTTTTAAAAATTTAAAGTTAATAAAGCATTGTACATTCTCTCTCTAGGGGGTTCATTATCCTTTTGTTTATTAGCATATCTTTTAAATTGTTCTTCCTATAGCTGCTCACCCTATAGAATTGTGTACTTTATGTCATAATATGGAAAAAGGTTTTATTTTACTAAAGACATGTGTTGGAGCATTGCCTGTTTTAATTTGCACAGGTATCCCCATGAAGACCATAACTTTTAACAAATATGTAATTGTAGAATTAGTCTTTTCAGAACTCAAAGCGGTTGCCCTTTGAAATCCTGGATATGCATTTATTGTATAGTGTACATACTTTAATTTTCCAGATTCTGCAAAATTAAATTCAGACATATCCATTTGCCAAATTTCATTTCTTTGAGTAACCTTTGGTTTACCGCCTGCAGGCAGTAGAGTCTGGTTATACAAAGAACAAGTAGGACATTTTAAAAAATTTCCTTGACTTATTGCCAAATGACAGAAAAATATTTCTTCAAATTGTTACCATTGACAAGATGTTTTTAAATGAAATTCTGAGGCTTCTAGCACACTTATTACCAATAACTCATCAATTTTATCATTACCCCATGCCAGAGGACCTGGTAGACCAGTTTGGGATCTGATATGTGTTATATACAATGGATGATTTCTATTTTTGATTATTTTTTGTAATTGAATAAGTAACAGGGCTAATTCTGAATCATATGAAATAAGTTCAGTGGTTTCAATATGTGAATCAACTCTTTCTGCATACTGAGTGTCAGTAACTATATTAAGAGTTTCTAGAAAATCTAATGATACCATGAGAATAGCATATGATTATTACTTTTGAACAGAATCATAAGGGCTTTGAGCCACCTTACCTAAATTTCCTGACTTAAAACCTGCCTTTCCTGATTTGTTTGTATCAGTATAGAATGCAGGGGCTCCAGAAATTTGTGTTCCCCATACAATGTGAGGAAGGATCCAATTAGTTCTCTTTATAAACTGAAGTCTCTTGCTTTTGGGATTTTTGTTGTTAATCTCTCCCAAAATACTATTGCAAGCTCTTTGCCAAAGTTCATTTTCTGTTCATAAAGAGGAAATCTCAGCATTAGTAAAAGGTACCACAATTTCTGCTGGATCTAGTCCTGCTAATTGGTGAAGTCTTAAATTTCCTTCCAGAATCAATTAGAAACCTTTTCTATATAGGTCTTTAATTTTTTACTCTGTTTGCATGGTAAAAACATCCAGTTTATTATCTTCTCTCTGCATAATAATTCCCATAGAAGAGTGTGTAGAAGGTAAAATAATCAGAACATAATCAAGCTATGGAATCAAACAACCCCACGTGAATTCTGTAATTTATTTTCTACCAAAGCTAATATTTTCCCAGTTTCAGCTGGTAATTTTATTGGAGTACTTAAGTCCTTATAATTGTAAGGTTTGAAATAAATTTAGTTCTTGAGTTATCAATCCAATTGTTGTCGATGACTGGTTAATATCTCCCAGAAATTTTTGAAAATCATTAAGAGTTTGTAATTGATCTCTCTTGATTTGTACCTCTTGTGGTTGTTTTTTGTATACCTATCTTATATCCTAGTTAATTAATAGCATCTCCTCTTTGTATTTTTTTCAGGAGCAATATTTAATCCCCAACAAGGCAAATTTTTCTTTACATCTTTAAAAATTTTCTCTAATGTTTCTGCATCTGAAACGGTTAGTAATGTATCTTCTATACAATAGTAAATTATAAATTAAGAAAACTGTTTATGAACTCTTTCCAATGGCTCTTGTACAAAATATTGACACAAGATAGGGCTATTTAACATCCCTTGTGGAAGAATTTTCCACTGATATCTTTTAACAGGCTGGGAATTATAAGTAGACACCATGAAGGCAAATTTTTATCTATCCTGTTCCTTTAAAGGTACAGTAAAAAAGCAGTCTTTTAAATTAATCACTATAATAGACCATCCTTTAGGTAATAGAGAAGACAAGGTAATTCCAGACTGTAAAGAGCCCATTGGCAGAATCACTTTATATATTTTTTGTTTTGTTTTGTTTTTGTTTTTGTTTTCGAGACAGGGTTTCTCTGTGGTTTTGGAGCCTATCCTGGAACTAGCTCTTGTAGACCAGGCTGGTCTCAAACTCACACAGATCTGCCTGCCTCTGCCTCCCGAGTGCTGGGATTAAAGGCATGCGCCACCACTGCCCGGCTAGAATCACTTTATTAATAGCTCTTAGATCTGTTACCTTCCTCCATTTCCCAGATTTCCTTTTAATGACAAATATAGGAGAATTCCAAGGACTGGTCAATTTATCAATATGTTGAGCATTTAACTGCTCTTGTACCAACTGTTCTAAAGCTTGTACTTTTTCTGATTCAGAGGCCATTGTTTCATCCAGTTAACCATTTTAAAGGTAGGGCTGTCGATACCTTGGAAAGATCAGCAGTTGTTTTGCCCTGTTCTTGTACAACCTGGGTGGTCAGTGACTGTTCTCCATAGTATCTTTTAGTATTTTTCTCAGAAACATACGTTAGTTAGTGGTTTGTTTCTGAGATTGGAGGAATGTTAATCTGAGTATTCCATTGCTGTAACAGATCATGTCCCCACAAACTCATTGCTATGTCAGCCACATTTGGCTTTGATGTCCCTCCTTGTCTTTTTAGGCCTATACACTCAATCCATCTTGCACGTTGTTCCACCTGAGATAAAGTTCCAATTCCTAGAAGATGGACATTTATCACTTGAAGAGGTCACTCTGGATACCAAGATTTTGGTACAATTATTATTACATCAGTCCCTGTGTCTATCAAACCTGTGGAGACCCTATTTCCACCTTGTCTGAAGATCAAAAAGTTTCAGCTTGCTCCAAGCTGTTGCCACTTCACCCTGATTAAAGGTCAGAGAGTTGGAATTTACTTCTGTTTCTTCAAGGTTATTGTCAGTTTCTACCTCAAAGAAAGGTCCCACCTAGATTTAGGTCAGAGAGTTCTGCTCTCTCAAGGTTATTGTCAACAGGTGTGGCTAATTGTATATCAGGCATAGAGAAGTTTATCTGTTTCTACCTCAAACAGAAGTCTAAGGATTAAACTAAGTTCTTACTCCCTTAGGGAGATAAACAATGGATTCCACTCAGGGAGTGGTTTGTCTACAGAATGTTTTGGTCTAGGGTATGAGTGTTATTTGTCTTGTTCTAGCAACACAATGTTTAACTGAGAATGTAGCCCACAACCTCAACTGGTCTGTTCATTTCCTTGTATCATGTTAATGCATTTTTTTTTAAATCTTACACCTATCTTTTGAGGTTGGGGGTATTTTAAGAAAATGTAAATTAAATGTGGGTGATTTCTATAGTCACTGAAATTCCCTCCCAGTACTAGTCTATGCTTCTGTTTTGTTATTTCCACTATGTCTTTGTTCTCTTTCCTTATTTTTCTAATCCCCATGCTCCTACCCTGGTAAGTGGTATTTTTCTTGAAGTTGGACTCTGACACAAACTCTTAATTCCAATACCATTTGTTTGTATTTTTAACTTCAATCTTTGATCATTTATAGAAGTTTGCCAAATACTTCTTTTTTTGGTCTCTCCTGAAAATTTTACTTTATCAAATGAAGCTGTTCTATCATTCAGAGCATATGGTTTTTCACAACAGCAATTTCCAACCTCAGCGGGGTTAACACATTCCAGGGCAGGGGCTTGTGGATTTGAAATGCCAGGCAGACAGAACAGAAATATAAAATAAATAGACAGAGACACAGAATAGAACCTGGAGGGCAAACTAGTGATTACTGAATTTGCCCATTGTTATTTTTCATATGCTTATACACCCCAATCCATAAATGGGGGAGAAGGCAAAAATATTGTTTTAACACGATACATAGAACAAATAGAGCAATTACCTCTTTACTACCTGAAGCATCAATTAAGTATACTCTGAGTTAAGTATTCTATTTGTTTAGGCAGGACTTGCAGTGACTGCACCTTAGGTCAAGTATCCTGTAGGCAGCCACTCCCTGGGTCAAACCCCCTGTTATATCCTTGAAGGAGAAGAAATGTACCTGAACTCTCTGACATTTGGTCAAGGTAGAACAGATCCACCTCTGTGGGCCATTTTAATACCCCAAACACCAAGTAACCACATCCTAGGTCAGGATATCCTGTTAGTGGTCACATCTTAATTCAATCAAATCTCTTGTCAGTAGACTTGAAGGAGCAAGAATAAGCCTGAACTCTCCAACCCTCAGTCAAGGTGGAACTTCTGTGGGCTCCCACAAGGCATTAAGTCTTTTATTGCTCTGTGGAGGAGTTGCCTCAATGCTGACAGGGAATGTTTGAACCAAATTTGATATGGGGGCTTGCAATGGGCCCCCTGAGGCATTTTCTGATGACAAAGGGGTACCTTGCCTGTCCTGTGTTGATCTGCATTCATTAGTACAATATCAGCCTTTGCCACACCATCTGCATATTCCAGAAGGCTGGAGTCTTCTGTTTGGTTTCTCTCTAGAAAAAAAAAAAACGTTGTTCTTACAAATGCCTAGCTTTTCCAGAGGACATGGTTTACCATAATTAAAATATCTAACCTTTTGATTTTTCTTAAAATTTTCAGAAATCACTTCTCCTATCCAAGTATCATAGACATGAGACCCAACTGTGTTTCTGATCCATTCTTCTACTGGTCCTGTTGCCTTTAAATGCCTAATTGCCATTTTACATCCTGGGTCAGCATTTTTGGATTAACATTTTTAAAAGCCAAAGTTTCATTTAAGATTTGTCTAATTTCTGGGTCTAATATCACTCTATTTACAGCTGAGGTCAATCTTTGTTAAAAATCAATGTAAGCTTCTTCGGGGGTTTTGTATAATTTTAGTGAATGACTCAGTCCTCTTTCTTGATTCTTGAATCTTGTCCCAAGCATTCAAAGCTGATAGATGGCATAGAACCAAGGTGTGATCACCAAAAATGTAATCTGTCTTTGCAAATTGTTAGACTGGGCCAAATGGAGAAACAGTTCTTGGGAAATTTCCATACCTCTGGCCCTACTTCCTTGTTCTATGATCCTAGCTTCATCTCTCCACCATGTTTTCCACTGTAACTGAGGGCCAGCTTCCAATACTGATGTAACCAAATCTTTCCAGTCTTATGGTATAATTCTGTACAGAGTAGCCCATGAATTTAGCATCTACTTACAAAGGTGAATGCATACCATAGGAAAATATTGCTTCCTTAATTCTCTTTAAATCTAAAATTTCTATAGGATTCCAGTTAATTTCTGAATAGCCTTGGGGTGGGGGGGTTGTTTATCATCTGGTGGTTGTTTTTGAATGGTAACTGGATAAATTAAGTTTGGTTTTCTAATAACCTTGGGTTGCTCCTCTTCAATTTCATAATGCAGTGTTACAGTAAGTTCTGCTCTCAATGACTCTGTCTCTGTGTGAATACTTTTCTTAGTTTCATTAGTAAGTCTTTCCAAGAATTTTATCTTACCAGTCAATTTTTTATATTTGGCACCAATACCAAATAACTTTTTAAAGGATAAAACATGAATTACCAAACTGATAATGGTTATAACTGACATTATGTTAACCCCAGATAAGCTAATTATCCCATCATTTAATTGTTCCATTACTATTCATTGAAGACCTAATTCCCTGAATCATTATATTGTTTCCCATTCTTAAGATGGGGGAAAAGTTTTTTAAAAACTAATTCCCCCAAGAATTCCCACGAGTCTCACCAGATCTAAAGGCAACAACAGTGAGGTGTGAGGTTGGCTGTTGCTGTACAGCATGGCTGAACAGAGAATGTGGGTGCCCATCTGCTACCAGTCAGTGAGAGAAGCCCCCTCACAGCCCTGTCCATGGGTCAGTCTCATGAAGGCAATCCCTGTCTGCTGAGGCTCCCTCTTCCCAGGTGTGTCAAGCTGACAGCTGAAGCTCATTATGACATCTTTCTTTTTCAGTGGGCATGAAAAAGAGACCTGGGACAGCTCGCAGTGGTAACTATTCCTACCAGCCTGGCCTTTTGCTGTGTTTGGCTTCTGCTATTGAGCCGTGTCTCACTCTTTAGAGGCTGGACTCACTGTAGTCCTTGCTGGCTTCAAATTTGTAGTAATCCTCCTGCCTCAAGCCTCCATATTGAGATGACAGATATGAGTCACCATGTCTTGCCCCATCTGCTTTGGAGTTTGTGAGGTTTTCCACCTGAAGATGTGGGGTACGTAAGGTTCTCACAGCTAACAGCCATTACTGTCCTATAGAAGTTGAGGTTAGCCCAGAAAGACCCCAAAATCATGTCTGCCAACTTTCCCACAGAGGAGGGGGTGGTCCCGTTAGCCCTGAGAGACCCCCAAATCAGGTCTGCTAAAGTTTCCCAAGGAGGGTGGGTGGCTCCATCAGATCCTTACCTGAGACCCCATTTCCTCTATGCTTTCCTCAAAGAAGTGTGCAACTCTGTTCCAGCTGGATGTGATATGGGAAGGTGACAGAGTACAGAGAGTGTGGAAGGTAGCTGGAGAGGGGGATGTCTATGTAGCTGTGGGGATGTCGTTCATGCTGTGGTGAGATTTCAATGGTGTAGCCATCTGGGAGTCACTCACACTCCCCCATGCTATTATAAGAAGCCCATAAACTCACTCATTAGTTCACCAGAGTTAGGTGGAATCCTTTGGTACCACTGGCATCCTATCTGAGGTGAGCAGGTATGCATTCGCCCTCTCCAGGGACAGTTTAGGCAACAAAAGGTCTCAGCCTTTCAGGATCCCTTCTTTGTTGCCAGAAACTGCAAGATGGAAAAATTCCACTTCATCCCTTTGAGTGTTCCTGCTGGGTCTAAGATTAAACAGAGGTGACACAGATTAACAGGAGAAAAGTATAATACAAATTTCATGTGACACAGGAATCAAAAAAAAAAGAAGAAGAAGAAGAAGAAAAAAAACCCTGAATACCAAAAGAAACGTTTGTAGGTCATTTATGCAATGTCTTTACCAAAAGTAAATAAGCAGGGGACGAGTGCTGGGGCAGGACAGCGGAAGGCCAGGGCAGCTTGCCAAGGCTTGTCTGCAGAACCCCTCCCCCATCTGTGCAGAACCCCTCCCCCATCTGTGCAGAAACCCTCCCCCATCTGTGCAGAAACCCTCCCCCTCGTCTGTGTAGAACCCCTCCCCCTCATCTATGCAGAACCCCTTCCCCCTCATCTGTGCAGAACCCCTCCCCCCTCATCCATGCAGAACCCCTTCCCCCTTATCTGTGCAGAACCCCTCCCCCCTCATCCATGCAGAACCTCTCCCCCTGCATCTGTGCAGAACCCCTCCCCCTTCATCTGTGCAGAATCCCTGCCACCTCAGCTTCCTTTCTCCAGGGCAGTGATGTCATTCTTCTCTAGGGTGGGGAGAACGTCTTACATGTAGGACAACACGGAAGGCCAGAGTGATTCTAAGTTGATATTTAACTTTTAATGGCTTATTATTATTATGAGTGTGAGGAGGAGGTGCTGCCACCGCCTCCTGCAGACATCGGAGGGCACATTTGCACGCTGGTCTCCAGGCCTGCTCAGCAAGCCTCTTTACTTACTGAGCCATCTCTCTCGCTATTTTGGATGTTAAAAATGTTATATGTATATTAAAAATACATACATATATGTATGTGTATAACTTTTTAAAATATATATATACACACATACATATGTATAATTTTAAAAATTTGTATTTATTTATTTTGAGACAGGCTCTCTGTGTAGCCCTGGCTATTCTGGATTTTTTCTCTGTAGAGCAGGCTGGCCTCAAAGCTACAGAAATCCACTTGCCTCTGCCTACTGAGTGCTTGGGATTAAAGGTGCGTACTACTTGGCAGAATCTATATATATGATCATATTTAATTTTATGTATGTAGTGAGGGGGAGCAGGGCCGCTTCCCTGCTACCCAGCTCCCAGCTGCCTGTCTTAGCCCCGGAAATAACAACACGGAAACTGTATTCTTTTAAACACTGCCTGGCCCATTATATCTAGCCTCTTCTTGGCTAATTCTCATATCTTGATTAACCCATTTCTAATAATCTGTGTAGCACCACGAGGTGGTAGCTTACCGAGAAAGATTCAGCATGTCTGATCTGGTGGCTGGCTCCATAGCATCTGACCTCCCCCCCATCTACTCAGCATCCTCTTCTGTCTACTCCACCCACCTATGTTCTGACCTATCAGGCCAAGTAGTTTCTTTATTAACCAATGAAAGTATGACCCTCCTATATCATATATGTGTGTGTGTGTGTGTGTGTGTGATATCTCTACGCATTATACACACACACATTTGTAGTGAAACTTAGGGCTGGAGAGAGGTGGTTCAGCAGTTAAGAGCACTGATTATTCTTCCAGAGGATCTAGGTTCAATTCCCAGCACCCACATGGTAACTCACAACCATCTTTAACTCCAGTTCCAGGAATTCCACTGACCCCTTCTGGCCTCTATGGGCATTGCACACATATGGTACACCCCAACACACACACATAAGTAAAAAAATAAATAAATAAAGGAAATAATGAAAATCTAAAGTGAAAGTCGCAGAGAATTGGCTCACTGTGTAAAGACACCTGCCACCAAGCCAGACAGCCTGAGTTTGGTCTCTGGGACACACATGATGGAGGCTTAACTGCTGCAAGCTGTCTTGTGACCTTCACACGTGCACTCTTCCAGCACACAAACACACTCGAGGGCATAGTAAGCAAAGGCAAAACAAAAATGTGTGTGTGTGGGGGAGGGGATTAGCTTTAGCAGCAGCGTCACTTGGCTCACGATGGTTCAGACTAAAAAAGAAGCAGAAAGCATCAAGAAAAGCATTGATCTGAAGAAAGGCTAACATGGAAGAAATCTGTTTCTGAAAAGGTTAAAATATAGGGGCTGGAGGCATGGCTCTGTGGGCGAAGCACTAGGTGTGCTGCTGAGGACGTCCTCTGACATCACAAGGACTCAGATGTCACCCTGGTGTGGGAGAATTGTCTGTATTCTGTCAATCATATTTTAAATAAACACTGATTGGCCAGGCAGAAAGTATAGGTGGGTCAACCAGACAGGAAGTAGAGGTGGGGCGATGAGAACAGAAGAATGCTAGGAAGGAGGAAGCCCATTCCTCCACTCCTGTGCAGACCACCGAAGAAGCAGGATGTAATCTACCTGGCTGAGAAAGGTACCAAGCCATGTGGCTAACATAGATAAGAACAATGGGTTAATATATGCTACAAGAGCTAATAAGTAGCCTGAGCTAATGGGCCAATCAGTTTTAAAACTTATGGAGATCTCTGTGTGATTTTCTTTGGGACTTGTCGACTGTGGGGTACTGGGCAGGATAGAAACCCCAACAAGCAGGCCCCTCGTGTTACATCATCTGGACAGTTTTATACTCGTGTTTGATGCCTCTGGAGATGTTTTTTGCCATCACAAAGATTTGGTTGGTAGCACATGCCTTTTATCCTAGCACTTGGGCAGCAGAGGCAGGAGGCACAAGGCAGAGAGATCATCGAGTTTGAGGCCAGCCTGGTCTATATAGTGAGTTCCATAACAGTCATGGCTACATGGTGAGACAGTCTTTTAAAAAAGGATTTGGAATGGATAATGGGTATATCACTCTATTGGAAAAGCTGGAGAAGGGATATTGTGAATATACGTTTTAAAAAAATCATGAGTGTGTGTGCGTGCGTGCATGTGCGTGCGTGCGTGCGTGCGTGCGTGTGTGTGTGTGTGTGTGATATGAGTTCTAGGAACTAAACTCAATCCACAGGGCCCTTAGTTGTTGAGCCACCCTGCAGCCTGAATACGTTCTTTTTCAAGCACTTTCACTGAGGAAAGAGCACTCACAGGTGAGGATCAAACGCTGGGGTTCCCAACGCTGTGACTGAGCACTCTTGGAAGCCTTGGCCTCACAGGGGCGCATGGACCCCTAGTTTGGAGGCCACTGGGGTAGAGGAAGGAAAGGGCTTACCTGCCTTAAGAAAATATTGCCACCTAGTGGTGACTCCTCTAGTCATAGACACAGGGACCTAAAGGCTCCCTTGACCTTTGGAAGGACTTCTGTTGAAAATCCATCTGTAGGTTCAGCTCCTTGTATCAAAATGCCATCATTGAATGGTATATAACCCACTGTCTCTTTCTACATCATGTTACTCAATATTCTGAAAAAGTCCTTCGGGTCATGAGGCTATATCCCACGGATGAGGCCACGGAGGATAAGGGAGAGTTAATTAATCCACAATTATGTTTTTATTAATCATTAAATATCCATTCATTAAGGATTATTATACAACTATCACACTCCTAGACTTCGAGTATGGGCTTGAGTTATGGGTAAATTAAAGACAACTGTTCTCAAATCAATAATAATCTAATGGGACTGAATTATGAAAAGTGGAATCAGGAGTTTTGATCAAAACCACTGAAATGTGTCCATACTCTTCCCAGACACCACAGGACAGTAAACACATATGTAAGGGTGCCTGGGTACCCCCGAGTCCTTGTAGGGTCAGAGGAGGTCAGTCCTGGAGGAAGCCAGTTTCCCAGGAAAATGACTCACCTGCTGAAAATGTCAGCTGAGAGAGGGCTTGCTCTCCCCGCCCCTCTGAGCCCGCTGCTTAACACCTGCTGCAGCTCGGAAAGCAGAGCGGGAGACTTGTTAAAAGGGTGGTTATCGAGAAATCAAGAGGCCCCAGGCCCAGCAGCTCCCTGCGGAGTCAGGTGTGGTACTAGTGAGGCCATCCTGTGCTGAGCCGGGGCAGCGGAGTTAGCCGGAGCTTTCCGTGTGGCAGCATTATGGAGTAGACAGCTGTGCTCCAGGGAACAGATTCTCCAGCGGTGCTCTGTCTTAACACAGTCTGCCTGCCTTCCCAGCCTCTCGTTCAGGACCTCCCTCACTGAGCAGGACATGCAGAAATGGGGAGGTGCTGTTTGATTTTTGCTTTTCTCTTTCTCGAACATTCCCCATTCTTGCCTAACTCAGGCTGCTATGGTGGCTCTCGGTGGCCCTCCTATGCACATGAATTCCTTCAGAATCCAGATCAAATTCCTCCTTCCTTCCTCTGTCTCTCATCCATGCTATCCACAAGCTCTTTGACAGGCATATCTCTCGGAGAGCCGACACTCCAGTGTTCAGTACTCTGAAATGACACTATTAGGAGCTGGACTTGGAGGCACACACCCATACAACTATCGCAGTTCTTGGAAGGAAGAGGTGGTGGAGCTCTGTGAATTTGAGGTCAGCTTGGTCTATATAGAGTTCTAGGCCAGCCATGGTTACATAGGAAGACCCTGCTTGCCCCTCCCAAAGAAAAAAGAACCATGAAACAACAACAACAAAAAACCAAATAAACAACCCCACACAAATTACCATCCCCCTCCCTGTTAGAACGTGAGGTCCATGAGGGCAGGTGTTGGGTTGATTTATTGACTCAGACTTGCAATGACGTAAGTGTTCAATAAATATTTGTAAATGGACTGAGTGAAAACTTCCTCGCATGGCCACTCTTAAGAAGCACAGCCACACTGGCCCAGTTTCCCAAACAGATTTCAACTGTTTCACTCGGTGCCTCAGCTCATGAGGCAGGGCTGCTACCGTCTTGGTTCCAGAAATGGATGTTAAGCCACATGCCCAGGGCCCACGCTTCTCTGGGACTGGAAGTGAGGTATGGATGAGGTGCACAAGGCTGGGACTTCTAAGTGATGAGGCCAAGCTGACCATGCCTTTAAGGGCCAATGACGGAAACAGCTTAGGAGAACATGATTGCATCAGACTGAAACACCCTACGTGTGTTGACTTAATAACATGACCTGACAATGAAAACTCAGGGCTAACTTTGTAGAGGTTGCGGGAGAACCAGCTTTTATTTTAAAAACAGGGTCTCCATACATAGCCCTAGCTGGCCTGGAACTCATTAGGTAGACCAGACTCGACTCAGATCCAGAGACCCGACTGCCTCCGCCTCCAGAGTGCTGAGGTTACTACAGTGAAGCCTGCTGGGTGTGCACATAAAAATTCGTTATATGAGTGTTTATTTAATGGGTTAAAAGTTTTCAATAATAGGTTAGAATGAAAACATTAATAGGAAAGGGGAAAAAGCAGTGTTTCTCCTGGTCGTCAATATAGCAAACCCAAAGTTGAGACCTACATCTCAGGAGGCATGTTTCCAAGAATGTAAATCTGACATCCAGGGGCTGAATCTTGACAGTTTGAGGCTTGCGAGAGGAGTCACCCCCTCTGACCTTGGGGAATTGTGCAGTATGTAAGGAGCCCCAGGCTTTGTTGTCCTGCTCCTGCTACATGATCGACACCGCAGAGATAGACTGAAAACAACGGGCTTTGTCTATCGTGCGACGTCCTGTACAACTTGACTTCCAAGAAGAAATTTGGATTCAGGGCAGTCTTTTTTACCCAGGCCTAAAAAACAAAACAAAACAAAATATAAATCCTTTTGGCTCTAGTTCTGCACTCTCAAAGCAGCGAGTAGCAGAGTTCCCGAGAGCAATTACATTTTTATTGAATGGAGGCAAAGAATGCAATTATCCAGCATAGCGCAGATGCTATCTGGTGGGATTTTCTGCGATGATGGAAGAGCTGCGAACCCAGTGTTCAACGTGGCAGCCAACAGCCACGCGCGGCTACCCACGTGAAATGTATGAGCGCAATTAAGAAACAGACCACGTACAATGCCAGAGTTCAGGGGAGGCGGAGCATCCTGACCTCAAGGCCGCCATTGGTCACGCAGCAAACACAAAGCCAACTTGAGTCGCATGAGCCTCTGTTTCAGGAGCAATTGCATTTTAAGTTTCATTTAATTTAAATTTTAAAAAGTAGTTGTTGAATTCTCAGTATTCCTCATTGTCCGCTATGTTCAGCTAGTCCGGATTTATCCCATGCTTTTTCAGACCTAGGCCAGCTGGCCTTGGTGAGATCCCAATAGAACATCCCCATTGTCTTAGTGTGTGGGTGCACCCCTCGTGGTCCTGAGTTCCTTGCTCGTGCTCCGTCTCCTTCTGCTCCTGATTTGGACCTTGAGATTTCTGTCCGGTGCTCCCATGTGGGTCTCTGTCTCTGTCTCCTTTCATCGCCTGATGAAGGTTAATATTCATGAGGATGCCTATGTGTTTGTCTTTGGATTTGATCCTACTGCACGTACTGGCTTTGTGGGAGCCTAGGCAGTTTGGATGCTCACCTTACGAGACCTGGATAGAGGTGGGCAGTCCTTGGGCTTCCCACAGGTCAGGGAACCCTGATTGCTCTTCGAGCAGATGAGGGAGGGGGACTTGATCGGGGGAGGGGGAGGGAAATGGGAAGCGGTTGTGGGGACGAGGCAGAAATCCTTAATAAATAAATAAATTTAAATAAAAAAAAGTAGTTGTTGTTTTGAGACAGGGTCTCACTTCATAGCCTTGACTGCTCTGGAACTCACTCTGTAGACCAGGCTGGCCTTAAACTCAGAGATCCGCTTGCCTCTGCCTCCTGAGTGCTGAGATTAAAGGCCACATGCCTGGCTTTCTCCACACTGATTTTGGTAGCGCTCTCTCTCTCTCTCTCTCTCTCTCTCTCTCTCTCTCTCTCTCTCCTTTCCTCCCTCCCGCCCCGTCTCTTTCTCTTTCTTCTCTTCCTCTCCACCCCCCTCTGTGTTTGCCTACACACCCATAGGCAGTTATTCTTGTGTGTGACTGAGGAGGCTTGTGTGCCATAGCTCGTATGTGGAGGCGTGTGCCATAGCTCTTATATGGAGGTGTGTATGTCATATCTTGTATGTGGAGGCGTGTGTGGCGTAGCTCGTATATGGAGGTGTGTGTGTGCCATAGCTCGTATGTGGAGGTGTGTGTGCCATAGCTCATATGTGGAGCTCAGATGACAACTTTGTATGTCCTCACTTTCCATCTTGTTTAAGACAAGGTCTTTTGAGCTTCCAGGCCTCTCTTGTCTCTACCTGTCATCTTCCCTGGAAGGAATTAGTGATGTGTGTGCTCTGTATGTGGGTTCTGGGGATTCGAACTCAGATCCTTACACTTGCATATCAATTACTTTACCCACGGGCTCACCTCCACAGCTCCAGTCTTAGTTGATGTCCATATTCCTACTCCACAGCCTTATTTCAACAAACAATCCAACCCTTTCAAACAAAGCTTGTAAGGGTTTCCCCGTGTTGTAGGAAATGGTTACCTAGTCCGCACATCGCCCCCCACCCCCTCGCTTTTCTCTCCTCTTTCTCCTTCCTCCCTGTTTCCTCTCATGCTAGGGACAAGTCAAGGCTCCATGGCTGCTAGACCATTACCCTACTGAACCACATCTCTTACCTATTTGTTTATTTTGTGGCTTTTTTTGAGACAAAATTTCACTTTGTAGCCCAGGCTGTCCTGGAACTCAGTATATAGCACAAACTAACCTCAATTTTGCAATACTTCTTCTGCCTCGGGCTCCTGGGTGTTGGGACTACAGGCACGAATCACTGATCCTGGCCAGTCACAGATTCCAGAGTATTCTTTTGGTTTTGGTTTTGAGACAGAGACTCTGTCTTAGTCACTGTTCTATTGCTGTGAGAAGACACCATGACCAAGGCAAATCCCATAAAAGCATTTAATTAGGGATTTGCTTACAGCTTCAGAGGTTTAGTTTCTTATCAGTATGGCAGGGAACATGATGCCAGGCATACAGGCGGGCACAGTGCTGGAGAAGTGACTGAGAAGTCTACATCCTGTTCCACAAGCAGCAGGAAGAGAGAGAAACTGGGCCTGATCACCCCAAGTGACACACTACCTCCAAAAGGCCACGCCTCCTAACCCTTCTCAAGTAGTGCCACTTCCTGGTGCATGAGCATTCGGAAAACGAGGCTGTGGGGCGATTCTTATTCAAACCACCTCAGTCTTGATCTATAGCCCACGTGGACCTTAAACTCAGGACAGTCCTCCTGTCTCACATGACCTGCTTTCTCGATTTGTTCCTGAACTGGAGCTAGGAGGAAGCGGGAGCAGGGACCTCATCCTGGCTGGAAGCTGCAAGCAGCTGAGTAAGAGAGTGCAGTTGTCACCTTGGGAGGAAGTGAGGCTGAGAGGTTCTTCCCTGCAGAGACCCGAAGACAGGGAGGACAGGAAATCTTGATGGCAGTGTGTGTACCACCTCTTCCCTATTGGAGGCGTGGCTATTTGTGCCCATGCATTTTCTCCGCTTCGTTTGGTTTGTGGTGTTGGGGATCAGATGGAGGCATGGGTGAGCGCCAGGCCGGAGCTGGGCTGCAGCTCATGCTTGACCCTGCCGAAAGAGCCCTTAAATAAATACACTTTTAAGAATGAACCATTAACTTAATACTAGAAGTGGGACAACCAACTGAATAATTAATGAATTACAATTTTGCCTGGCACGGCAGCACATTTCTTGAAGTCCTGGCACTCGGGAATCTGAGGATGACTTGTCACGAATTCAGACACAGCCAGGGCTACATAGCAAGTCCTGGCCAGGCTAGCATTCATAGCCAAAAGGGGGGAAAAATTAAAGGAAAGAGGGAAATTACAAGGCTAATAATAAAAATCCAAAGTCTGGGAGGATCTCTAAGGGCTCTCTGGATGCTCACCTTGATGAGAGGCTTGGTGTGACCGTGGGTAGGCTAGAACCTCTCGATGCCCAGCCTTCTTATCCATCCTCTGTGAGAACCCATATCACACCCATTGGAAACAAACAGCACAGCAGGTGCTGTGTTCCCCTCTTTTTCCCGTGTGTTGGATGAACCACAAGCAGGGTTCCCTCGAAGGGAAGCAGGGCACGCATGAGTGGCCATCGGCTTCACCCGTCACTGGCAGACACCTTGGCACACCTTTCCTAAAACGTAAAAACCATTCCACTTTGTTTCTAAAACCACAGAAGTGCTCCTTCCCTTCCGCTCAGATTCCTGCTCCCAGGAGCCTAAATTAGGAGTTAATTAAGAGACAATCAAAGCTATATTCTCCCAACTGCTCAATGGTGTTAAATTCAATACCGATGAAGGAAAAAA